CGTGATGGAGGATGATGCGGCGGTTGCAGTTCTCTTTACGGAGTTCAGAAACGACCTGTGGCAAACAAATGCTAGCATACCATTCTGCATTAAACCGTTCTTTGTCCCTCAAGAGGAATAGTCGTAACATGGCCGGTTTTGGAGACAAACGTGGCCACCATTTTTATTGCAACACTCCGTGAACGAACAATTTTTGTTGGCTTTAACTCATTTTCGAACACCCAAACTCGTGACTGGTTTTTTGTTTCGGGTCCGTACGCGTATATCCAGAATTCGTCACCTGATACGATGTTTTATACAGCATTTGAGGATCCTGCGTAGAATCTTTTTAGAGAGTTCTGACGCACCAAGTAACGCGAGCCGCTTTTTGCTCTTCACGGAGCGAATGCGGTATCCATCGGGAAAACAACTTTTTTACACCTAATTGTCATGCAAGATTATTTGTATTTGACTCATGCCAATGTCTAAAGTTGCCTGAAATTCGTGGTATGTCACATGTCGATCTTCCTCAATCAGCTTACGCACAGCATCAACGTTTTCTTGGGTGACTGCAGTTTTTGGATGACCTTGACGGGGAACATCACTGAGCTTGACATGTCCACGTTGAAATTCAGCAAACCAGCGATAAATTGTGGTTTTGGATGGGGCTTCGTCACCAAATGTAGGAATCATCTGGTCAACACACTGCTTTTGTGTTAAACCACTTCGAAAGTCATAATAAATCATCGCTCTTGAATTTTCTCGAGTCAATTCCATTTTCTCAACGACTAAACAAGTTTGACAAAACCTTGTGACAAGACCGAGAATCTTTTTATAAATAAATAAATGGTATTCGATTTTTAAAACCAAGAAGTTTTCAATTAAAAGGATTTTAATATGACAGGAACAGTGGAAATATTCCATTCCCGATACTTTTAGTGCAGCCTATGTATATAAAAATTAATTTTTGCCTGTTCGTATTTTATGCGCTGCCATACCGTTCATCAGATTGCGGTAAAACTTTGTCAACTTATTGCTTGCACTTCTCATTCCCAATTAAACAATATAACTCCTCCAAATTTAAATCGATATTTCCACAATTATTTATTCTGCGGCAGCAACGCGCTGCGTAGCAGCTAGTGTGTTATAAAATATTATCATAATTTAAAACATAATGCGACTGTGGAGTGATTCCCACCAGTTAACGATTGTCATCACCTCACGAGAGTATCGCACTGCCGATCTCATGATAATGGGAACTAAAATAATTGTTCGATGACCAGCTGTAGCTGATTGGCACTGAGGTGAAGCTTTTTTTGTTACACAATGTCATTTAGTTGAGTAGTTAGTTTTGAATTAAAGTTTATCTTTTTTTTATAGGATAGGGTGACAAACGAGCACACAGTCCACCTGATGGTAAGTGGTTGCTGTGGTCCATAGACATCTACATCTATCCTCGATTACGAATCAAAATGCAGATGTGTTGTCACCCGTGAGGACTAAGATGGAATGCCTCGTTTCCAGTAAAAAGGGTCTCCGGTTCTCTACACCCACCATACGAAACACAGCAGCATTAAGCTACGCTGGTGTTCTGTGAGAGCATGATCCTTCCCCGGTCGAGCCGACCCATTCGTGCTACAACTATACTACTAATATGCACTGCCACGGAAACGTTATCTGGTTATAGAGTATTATATTAATGAACTAAACAATATCTCAGTTTCTCAGTGGTATGCTCTTTAATTTTTTGCACATTTTAACCTCATTTCTTAACTTTTAGGAATATCCGTAGTTTGGTTTATTAATTTCCAAGCTAAAGCTATTAATATAAAATATAATAATAATACAAAAAGAAACATTAACTCTTACATTATTTTATAAAATTATCTTCCTCGACGTGAAATTTGTCAAATATTCACCTTTAAACTCATGGGTTTTCATTCACCTTTAAGCTCATTGAGGTTGGTTTATATTTTTTACATCGTCCTATCTCTTTATATTTTTTTTACTCTATCTTTTTATATCATACCTAGAAGGTTTTTTTTATCCTAAGGCTACAAGTTTTACACCTATAAGAATATAATAATCCTTTTTATCGTTATTATAGTTATGATCATGATAAGACATTTATTCATCAGCCCTTCCTAAACTGTAAAAGTTTTGTATATGTTCGTGGACGGCGGTGATCGTCTACCATCAGGCGAGCTGAATGCTAGTGTGCTCCACTCCCTCTAAAATAACTCCAACCTAGTGTCATTTTTGCTGGGTAATTTAAAACTGACCTTTTTAAAGTTTGTTTCGATTCTGTTTTAATTTAAGAATCCTTTTGTAAAAACTTTTTTGTGGCAAGTCTTGTTCGTATTTTAATTTTCATAACATGTTGCCATAACACGTTCATAACATGTTGATATACTTTCCCAAAGTACACACTTTAAGAAATATGGGAACATTAAAGTATGAAGAATTGAAAATATTTTGCACATTAGAAGGTTTAATCCCATGTGGGTGACACTGTATCATTCATAAGGATTGCAATTAGCATGTAATGCGCAACGTGCACACCGTACCTACATTCAATATACAATTCAATGTTTGTATTCAAAGTGAGTGCTGTCTCCTAGTTGGAGGATGTTCGCAATCAGACCGCTTGTATAAATAAGTGATTTGGCTAACTGATCACTCATCGATAGTGTTGCGATTGTGGTACGAAGAGTACATATCGATAGAACTAATAAATATATGTACATTATTTATTTACACAATATTAGAAGAAAAGCAAGACTAATAAGACTTAACTATAAGATATTATAAATAACATCTAGAAAACTTTGATTATTACTAAAATTACAACAAGAATAGAACAGAGTCTAGAGTTATTTTAATTTTAAATAGCAAAATAAATGAATTACAGTACTAGCTGATGCCCGGTCGCTTCGCTGAGCGCACGGATGTAAAATATCAAGATTTTTTTTTTGATTGGACTATCGTAAAATCCGTTCTTAGTGGACGTATATCTATTGTCTTGAATTTTTGTATTGAATTGAGTAAATATACTAAATTTCAAGTTAATCGGGTGTATGGTTTTAGAGATCTCCTCAATATATATATATATATATATATATATATATATATAGATACGTACACGAAATAATACGACAATTTTTTAATAAAATAAATCAAACATTATTTTATAAGAAACTACCAGAGCGTGTCCCTTGCATTATCTAGTAGTAATTTTAAAAATATATGAATCGTTTTTTACACATTAAACATCTCTTTTTTGTCATATTATATGGTAATAAATTTTCCTAATTTTTTTGTTTTTATCTTACTCATCATCAGTTACTGGTAGCCAGCGTAACTTTGAAAAATTTTAATGTCGATACTTCAACTCTGGGCATCCTTAATGGGCTGGCGCCAAGATGCTTGGAATTCGCACTACATTCGCGATTTCCATGCATTACGTGTCTTGTTAGATGCATTCACATAGAATTTCAAGGTCAAATATTAACTTAAAAATATATTGCGATACTGTAACATACTTATTATGACGTCTGTACCTTTTGAACCCGATATTAATATATAAAAAAATAAAAATTATATTTTGACGTGCAGTTAACCTTTCATACATAGTAGCTATTCATAAACAATATGATTATAACTTTAGAGTGCTAACTGGCCTTAGTGTGTTAGGTGGTGTGACTCTTGCAGTTCTTGGTCACCTGTAACTGAAATACAGTTAGTGTCTAGATGTAGTGTCGTAAAACTTGTAATGACGTCTCAAATCGCAATTCTTCATACATTTTTTATGTTGTTCTTATTCCTTTAATTACATTGTTAATTACATTGTTCTTATTCCTAAAAAAATGACTTTAATTTTAGTAAAATAAAAATTTCAAAAAGTAAAAATGTCTGAATCTGAATCTGAAATCTGAATCATGACTATCAGGCAACCCTAACTGGTGAACACTCTTGTTTTCAAGTTTTCAGTATAGGTGACGAGAAAATGTGTCTTATCTCAAACTCTGTCAAACGCAGCTAGGCCGCGTTGGATCTGTCAATTGATCTCTCGGTCGAAGTTGGACTTACCTAATCGAACAAATTGTTCTAGGTAAACGTTATGATAATATGAATCACTCCATTTTATTCCGTAGGTGTCGTAAGAATCGAAAGAAAAAAAATCAATAAAAATATCACCATTTTTTTGATTTTTATATAAAATTATATAAAAATCAATAAAAAATGTTGTGGATCTTGTTGAGACGTCTGGTAACGGCGATCGTCAATCACCTGTCAAGCATGACATCTTGCAATTGGATTGGTCCACGTTTAGCACTCCACTTTTACGGATTGACTTTTTGTCACGTTCGCGTAGGGTAAACTAGCGTAAATATGTGACTCACTTAATTCTGTGATAATATGTTTTGATGCTTCCACTGCTTTATAGGAGCAAAATTTACTACTTTAAATTCAACTTTGTGATAGAACGATAAGGCTTCTTTTTGTGTATAAAATTTTGTTCAATACTTGTTAGACAAATAATAACAGTCACGTGATTTGTCATTTCACCCGCCATTTTTGCTTCCCAGCGGCAACGTACGTCTTGAGTTGTGATAATTAATACATTTTAAATGAAAAACATAGGTGTAACTTTATGAAATTTGGTGAATCAGTTGTTGAAAACATATAATTGCTGCCACTGTGAATGGTTTTGATCAATTCTGATTAATATTTGAATAATACCTTATCTACTGGATTCAAAAATTAACGATTTTCGAGATTTAAGCGCGAAACAGTGTCACCGAATTAACGAAGGTAAGTGTGATGTTTTTCTTATTCTTATATTAATAGTTTTAGTTATTGTGACTAATATAGTAAAATATATTTTAAAAAATATATTTAGTTGTGATATAAGAGTAGCGGCCATTTTCAAGCTTTTTTAAAATTTTTGTTAATTTTATCACGTTTTTTAGTTCTTTTTATCACGAAATTAAGTGAGTTGTTATGTTATTTCAGACACCATGGAGGAAAATAAGAATTCGAAGAAAAAAAACAGAAAATATAATGAGATAATGTTAAAATCAGCCATTGAAAGTGTTTTACAGTCAAAATTAACTTTGTACATGGCATCAAAGGAATTCAACGTGCCGTGGAGTACATTAAAGGCCAATGTTGAACGAGTTAAAGAAGAACGCAAGCAGGGAATAACACAGATTAGGATGCTCAAAGTAGGTAGACCATTTTCTTTGTCAGCGAATTTAGAACAAAGCTTACTGTCATACATTATACAAATGCAAGAGCTTGGATTTGGCCTTACTGTAAACCAGATAAGACAAATAGCCTTTTCACTTGCTGAGACAGCTGAATGTAAGCATTACTTCAACAAAAGCAAAAGATGTGCTGGATGGAATTGGTGGGTTAGTTTTAAAGGTCGTTACGGTTTAAGTTTAAGGATTCCGGAAAATCTTTCATCCGGTCGTGCTATTTGCTCAAATCCCACAATATTAGCTGATTTTTATGAAAAATTAGAGGCAACTTTAGTTAATCATAACTTGTTGGATTGCCCAGATAGAATATGGAACTGTGACGAAACGGGTCTTATGTACGTCAACAAACCTACTAAAAGTGTCACCAAAATAGGAAAAAAATACGTATATAATCGAACATATGCTGAGAAAGGCACTACAACTACAGTGCTAGCTTGCATTAATGCAGCTGGGCATTTCATTCCCCCTTTGGTGATATTTAAAGGGGTAAGAAATATCCCTGGACTATCGAATGGGTCTCTGCCAAATAGTTTAACGCGACTGTCGCCAAAGGGCTGGATAAATGCAGATTTATTCTATGAGTGGTTGAAATTTTTCGACCGAAACATTCCTCCTACAAGGCCGGTTATGTTGATTATGGATTCACATGCGAGTCATATAGCTCCAAAAATTCTTGATTATGCTAAATCCCACCAGATAATATTATTTACTATGCCTGCTCACACAAGCCACATTTTGCAACCACTGGATGTTGGAGTTTTTCGACCACTTAAAGCGGCATGGAGAGCAGAGTTGCAAAATTATAAAGTAAACAATCCCACCTCAGTACCTACAAGATTTGATTTTCACAAATTCCTGACACCGGTTTATGAACAATGTTTTACGCCTACCAATATACGAGCAGGATTTAGAAAAGCTGGAATATATCCAATAAATAAAAATGCTGTATGTTCAGAAGCTATTGCACCTTCAATATTATCAGATCAACCTGTTCCTACATCACAGTTCTCTATGGAAGAAATAATTATCGGTCAAGACTACGATGTTGATATTCCTCAAGCCGAAATAATAAAAACTAATTATGATCCCCTTAGTGAAGGAGCAATCAACGAGAAAGACGCTAGCAAACCTTCAATCCCAAGCATTAGTTCTATTGCCGAGGCACAAATTGAAAATAGTGCTCCTTCTGAGACTTTGCAAATGGAATGCGAGTTAGAACAAGTTCTGAACTCAATGTATAATATAAATACTGTAACAAATAATATAACCATTGACGATATACCGAGACCTATTCTTCAAAATAAAAATAAAATTGAGATACACGACATATTAATATTACCAAAATGGAAACCTAATATAAAAACACGACAAAAGAGAAATGTTCCCAAAGCTCAGTGCTTAACACCGGTCGCCACAACATCATCTACAAACGTATCTTTAAGACATGTCCGCCGAACAACTTTTAAAAAAAGAAGATCAAAAAGTGAAAGATCGGCGAACACCACAACCAAACTTAAGAAAACAAGTAAAAGAAAACGTCAAACAAACTTCTCAACCATTAAATAGATTAAAATCTTCAATCTCGGATGATGAATGGGTTTGCCGATCTTTCAATGGGCTGTACTCACAAGATGTAAAGTTACAAAATGGAGCCGACTGGATTACATGTTCTTTCTGTACTAATCCTTATCATATCCATTGCCAAAGTCAAATTATAGGTGATAACCAAGAAGTTTTTATGTGTGATAGTTGCAGCATTGATGAATCTAGTGGTGAAGAGTAAAATAACATGAATAATAATAATAAGAGTATCTTAAAATATTTAAGAAATTCATTGAATTCTTACATAAACTTTTTATTATTAATAATTAAAAATGTACAAATTTATTCCTTGTTTCTTAGCTTTTAGTTGATTAGTAAAATAATTTTTAATTGGAATAAATTTCGCGAATTTTGTGAAGATTAAAAATAAATACTCACCTAATTCTGTTATATCACAATTAGAGTAGTACCATCACCGAATTAAAGTGATTGTCACCGAATTACACAAATCATCAAGCTATGCATAAAGTTCATTTACTTTAGGTTTATCATTTGAAAAATATGATTACTATTGCTCATATGGTAAACAAAAGTGTGGTTGATTCTCTTATATAAAATAAAACATTTTTATTAAGTTTCACCCGATTTTTTTTGCAATATTCTGTTTTATCACAGAATAAGATGAGTACACCCTACATTTATGTTTTATAACATACTAGTCCGGTCAATTTAGACCAAAAAATGAGAGTGAAGTTACATAAAGTCCCAACAAGCTGAATTTCAGGGAAATTGTTCAAAATATAATTATAAACAATGTCTGGAAGTTCCACATCATTCCCCTGTAAGGAAAAAATTTTATTCAAGGTCAAAGGTCAAAAAAATGAGTTTTTCGCGATTTTCAGCAAAACGGTAAGTTTTATCATGAAAGTACCTCAGACAAAAATTGGAGATCATAAAATTATCTATAAAAATGTATCAATACTTTTTTTCTTACGAGCCACCGTTTCTGAGATATAACGATTCAAAAAGTTATAAAAGTTGTTATCGTCATAATATACATGAGTACGCCACGTATATACATCTAGAGTTGTTATATTTTATATTATATATATATTAAATGTTTAAATATTTTTCTATCGGTCATTGTAACTTATACTTACAATATAAAATATACATAAGTTTTAACTATAAGAATATCAGGTAAAATGAAACCCAGTCCCTTAATCTTTATTTACTTTTGTAAAGTGTCAAGATCATGTACTATTTTTACACTCAATAACTGGCTGTGATACGACATCTGCATTTTACAGGAGGGGTAAAACAGCAGTTTTCAAAATGTTTGAAAAACAAGATTTAATTCAATGTGCTGAAGATTTTAAAAAGAGTAATTCAACTCAACAAGAAGTTATTACCAACGACATCCGCTTTCTTCTTTCTATGTACGGAGCTCCTAAAAAAACTACCTGTTTAGATAAGCATCAATATGCATGTTTCGTTAAAAATACTAAAAATAAAAAACAAGTTCAATTAGCTTGTCTTCCTCCAACCTCAGTTGCTGCTCACCAACATCTTTTTCGAGTATATTACCAAGTTCAAGTGTGGCTTGGTTATCAGCTCGACCCTACAGACTGGGGTTGGAAGTTGGTCAACAATATATTAGAGCCAGTTCAAACTTTACTTCCACCTGCGCCGGAAAAACTGCTGAACACTATTTTTTGCAACTGCAAAAAGGGATGCAGTGCTAAATGTGGTTGCAAAAAAGTCGGACTGTCTTGTTCTTTGGCATGCACAAATTGTCAAGGCCGGTCGTGCTCTAATATTGAATCACAAACAATGTAGGATTCGTTTGACTCCGACGAAATATCATGCGATACATCGCTATTGACGCAATTTACTTGCATCCAAAATGAAGATGATGAAGAAGCAGGAGAAGAACAAGAAGAAGATCAAGAAGAAGAACAAGAATTTGAAACTTACGAATAAGACGAATAAACTTCAACACTTTTTTTTAATTTACATCGCTTTTATCTTTCCCAATCTTTGAAAATTTCCGTTATTATGCAATAGTTTTACATTAAACAGGATCACAACTGACCCGTGGAGTAGGCCTACTGGGGAAACCACGTTAAAAAAACGCGCTAAGTAGGTACACTACCTCATAGGTGGCGTGGAAACGTGTGCATATTATGACGATAACAACTTTTATAACTTTTTGAATCGTTATATCTCAGAAACGGTGGCTCGTAAGAAAAAAAGTATTAATACATTTTTTATAGATAATTTTATGATCTACAATTTCTGTCTGAAGTACTTTTATGATAAAACTTACCGTTTTGCTGAAAATCGCGAAAAACTCATTTTTTTTTGACCTTTGACCTTGAATAAAATTTTTTCCTTACAGGGGAATGATGGGGAACTTCTAGACATTGTTTATAATTATGTTTTGAACAATTTCACAGAAATTCAGCTTGTTGGGACTTTATGTAACTTCGAATGTCTAAATTGACCGGACTATACTAGCTGGTACGCACTACGCAGAGCATTGCCGCCAGAGAAGAAATAATAGTGGAAATATCGTTTTAATTTTGGAAGGGTTATATTGTTTACTTAGGAATGGTAATACATTTAAGAGGGCGACACTTAAAGTTTTTAGAACTGGCCACTTGTGAACGATATAATAAAAAAAAATAAGTACAAATTTTGAAAATAAAACTCTTTGCCAACAACAAACAAATTCTTTCCAAACATTGAAGTATAATGTACTTACGTACTACAACAGCTATTTCAAACAAAAACTGTGCGCTACTCTATATCGTTGCGTATTGGGCGGTAAGCAGTCGTGACGCGCAGCAGTTAGGTAGAATGATCAGTATGTAATTAATAATTATTGTTTATTTAAATTACATAAATTGTAATTAATTTATTAAAACGAGTTAAAATTTAAATAATTTGTCAATTATTTTGAATATTAAGAGGTAAATAAATTAATACGATAATAAATAATATTATCACAATTGCATTTGAATTACATTTTTATATGAATATTTTAAAAGATAACTATATAAAATGAAAGGAATCAAAGCAAATTAAATATATTTATTTAAATCACTTATTTGTTTTCTTTTTGCTGAAAATTAATTTCAATTATTAAATTTGTAAATGTTTTGGTAAAAATAAAAAATAAACTTTATTAAGTGCCTTTAAACAATATGAGTTTAGATAATTTTTACCGTTTTGATCAGTTTTTTTGCTTCGTGTTTTAAACGAATATTTGTGTATTTATTTATGAGAGCCCGAATCAAGTGAACCCAGTGGCGAAGCTTCCATTAAAGCCGAAAAGCCGGGCTTGCCTTATTAAACCTGAATCAATCAATAATATCAACTAATAAAATAACTCGTAAAATGTTTCAAGCTATTTCAAATTTCCCGCGCGCTCCACTGTTCGACACATGTCGACCGATGACCTTGTATTGCCTTAACGATACTGATGCTGTCATAAAAAATGAGTTTTAATAGAGCTAATAGTTGTCTCCCTCGCTCGCGTGGGCATTTTACGGGGCTTTCGGGAAGACGATCGCTCTCTTTCTAGCCTATGGCAAAATATTCTATAATGAAATGTAACTACGATTGTATATATAGCAATTACTATAGAGATTTAAAGCCAGGCTTTTGGGAATAAATTAGTTAAAAGCGGATGCGCGCGGGCAATACGTTTGCAAGTTCATTTCACGTTTCAATGTTTATTTACTCTGTGTGCTTATCTTAAGCGATTTAATATTACGAGTTCAAAATTTATGCTTTTTTAAAGATTTTTAATGAAAATGGAGGATAATAGTGTTCCTTGTGATGAATTGAAGTGTGTTAAAGTGATAATCGGAGAGGAAATCTTTAAACTTTGTTGAGACAATACACAAGGTTAAGAGTGTATTTCAGACTTATCAATTATCGCAATTAAAAACAGTTATTGGTACAATTAAAACGTTCACCAACATTTTACGTGGACGTAATTAAATCTTTCCATAAGAAAGCGAGACGATTCCACTTATCTTATCTCTTATCCATTAGTATGTAAATAATTTTTTTTTTAATTTTGTACATAGTTTGTTTGTACTTTGTTCGTGTTTTACTTTTGTTCATGTATTGTATTGGATGTAAATATTTTTTTTCTTTCGCTTAAAAAACCCAAACGGCTTTCTTCAAAGCCACCGAAGCTATGCAATTGCTGATATGTAATACAATCTATCTAGCAGTGGTATGCCTTCTGTGTGCTTTGTTAAACACGTCCTTGACAGCACTGAATATGAAACTGAAGCGTGGAGACAGATCAAGATTGGTGTATTTTTATAAAACTGCTAAAAACAACAATCTATATTTTTATCAATTTATATCTTGGGCTTGCCCTAGCTTGCAGCTCTAGCTTCGCCACTGAGTGAACCCTGTGATTGAAAGTACTTGGCTGATTAAATGAATGTTGAATTAAGGATGTAAATACCTCTTTTTCAATGAAAAATTCTAAAGTTTTAACAATAATGAAATTGAAGTTATATTTTATTCTTTGTCTTATAAGTTTTCGTATCACGGTTTCCGTGGTCAAACATATTTTATACACATCGCCAGTAGAGTAGCATAAGCCACCCATATATTTGATGGTTATCAATTTGTGGTGTGGCAGCTTTTCTGTCGTGATTAAGCTATTTGCGCATTCTTCGAATTTTAATAATTTTGTTAAAATTCTGGCTATATATCCAGAAATGTATTCAACAATCAATTGGGAACTACTCGTAACATGTTCATTATTTAGTGTCTCAGCAAATATGTTACAATTATTTTCGGCTTCAATATCAGAATTCAGTATACAGGTAGATGATAAAACTTCATATTGTTGGTCATCATGTCTATTGTGTTGTTGTGCTGTTAATTATGTCAGTAGAAGAACATTGTAAAATAGTGAAATTGTCCAGTGGGATACAATTACCAGTAAATGATGAACGGAGTTCCAAGTGATTTACGAGTTTTTTTTTGTA